TCTCACATTTAGAGTAACGTATCAAGAGGTTATACTAGATTCTTCAACGTGTGCATCTTCACTGTAAGAAGCTATATTCAAGGTGATTTTTACACAGTCTCTCAAGGGTTAATATCTTATAAGATATTGCATCCATGCTGTTGTAGTACACAATACTCTCACATACATCGGTGTACACCGATGCGCTAACATATTATAGACTTTAATAGGGTGACATACAACACACCAAAAACTGGACTTTGACAGACTTTATGAATAAACAGATCCAATCATGAACGAAACAGTGTGTTTAAATTATACATGTCATAAATTTTCAATTTTACATTTGTTGGGGTTTTTAATGATATTTTTAGGCGACTGAATGCACTTACAATAATCGTTTTTTAAGGTGGTACTATAATACTAATAATAATAGTAATTATAGTACTAATAATATTATAAATCCTCCGAATCTTCTGGCCCGACAAGATTTCCAACGCAGATCTTTTACGAAAATGTAGGCAAGAGGACATGACCACCATAATAACAAGGAGAACAAGGAGAGGGATTGGGCATGTCCTGAGAAGAGAACCAGACTCTATTGTAAAAACTGCCCTCCGCTGGACGCCCGAAGGACATCGCAAGAGGGGTAGGACCAAAAAGACCTGGAGACGCACAGTAGAGTCTGAAATGAAGTGCTGGAACCATTCGTGGGGGATGTTGACTAAGAAGGTCCAAAATCAGACAGAGCTGGAGATCCTTTGTTGATGCCCTAAACGCCAGATAGATGGCGTAACGGGTAGTCAATAAGTAAATAATATAATACTATGATAATATAAATCAAGTGAGTCAGCTGCACTGAGTGTATTCAGCTTCCATAATACTATGATAATATAAATCAAGTGGGTCAGCTGCACTGAGTGTATTCAGCTTCCATGAACACCATTTAGGGTTGTTTGATGGGTGGGAACTCTGCAATTGAAGTCTGTCTCCGAGAGGACCAAGCCAGAATATGTGCTTCCCGATATTTCAAATTGTAAGAATATAACATTGAAGATTTGAAGCGGAGTCCTCAGCACTGCACTCCACTGTGATTTCAATGAGTTGTCTGCTCCAATATATTCCGGGTTTTTAAAGTCACACATGTTGTATACTTTTATCACAACGTATCACATTGATGTGTGCCAGACTTTACACATCTCTTTTGTTTGTACGTCCAGTGTTTTAAGTGACCCGTGATGTACACAAATCTTTTCACGTTTCTTTAATTTGTTCGTACATTCAGTGTATAAGGTGACACATAGCACGTATACCAATGTTTTCCCGTTTCGCGTATTTCAAAATTCAGTGTTTGAGGTAACACAAGATATAAAATACACACAAATATTTTCCCTGTTTCATGTATTCGAACAGTCAGGGTTGTAGAGGACATACGATAAACACATCAATATTTTCCCTGTTTCATGTATTCGAACAGTCAGTGTTTGAGGCGACACTTTGTGCACACCAGTCTATTCAGGTTTCATATTATATTCAAACAGTCAGTGTTTGAGGCGACACTTTGTGCACACCAGTCTATTCAGGTTTCATATAATATTTGAACAGTCAGTGTTTTAGGTGATAGATGGTATACTCCAGGGTGTACATATCCTGAGGCTTCATGTAGTGGAAAGAAATAGTCCGGTTGCTGCAACATTGAAAGCCCTGTAATAAAGGAAAAGTAGAACTGTTAGTACGTTTGGTCGGATGATTGCTTTTAAAAATGTCTTTCACTATTTTTGGTGAGTTTTTTAGGCGTGTGAATGTGTGAATATGTGTGTGTCTGTTTTTATGTCTGTCTGTCTGAGAGTATATTTTAAAAAAAAACTATCTAGAGAGAGATGTTCACTGTAGGAAGATCAGATAATATCTAAGATCTGTCAAAATTCGATTTAAAAAAAGATATGACACACAAAAAATCATCATTATAGGATTGGCGCTTATCTTTTGAAATGTATTGAGGGAAATGTTAGACAGACATAAACGATCTGTCATAAATTCGATAAATGTATGTAGCAAAAATGCTTAAGCTTATACCGTGATAGAAACCTACCCGTTGGAATGGATGGTAGGCGTACTGGTGAGTCCAGTTGGGTAAGGGAAAGTCGGCGAAGTAAGTAAAAGGGTTCAGGGGGTGAAATCTTTCAAGGCCTTTTTCATCAATGGAATCCTCAGCCTTGACCCCCAATTCATAGAGACACTGGCCAAGGTCAAGGTCTTCCATACCGCTGTAAAGTGGGAGAGATGAAAAAGAAAAGCGTTTATGAATGGGAACTAGATCTAGGTGAATCAATTTTAACCGAAAGTTCGTTTTATTTTTTTATTTTTTATTTTTTTTGGTTAGTGCTTTACCGCACTCGCAATTGCCCCTGGCCATATGAGCACGCGAGACACATTAAACATTTTTCGGTTTGTAGAAAATTTTGAATTTTGCTCGGGTGGCCGCCGAAGCCTAATCTTATCGATTTTGGACCCCCTAGGGATCTTTAACATGCGCAACCTGCACACGTGACCTCTCAAAATGTTCGCCTTTGTCCGAGAAAGCTAGGTGTAGATCTTTCCTACCATAAGATCAAGGGTGTGGCTGAAAGACAACAGTGAGAAGGAGCGAAGGAGTAGCAAGGCTGAAGAAAGAGTAATAAGGAGCCCAGGGGAGGGAGCAAAGGAGGTGAGGGATGGGGGCAGAAAGTGGAGACGGAAGCAGACGACAGAACATTGCTAGAGAGCAGGAAAGGAGTTGAAAGGAATCAAATTTAGAGAAGAAAAACTCCCGTCGCTATCCGGATTCGAACCCGGGGCCTATTGAATGAGAGGCAAAAACCTTAACCCCTAGACCACAAGAACCATGAAGATTCAGTAGAAATATATAATGAGGCTTAAAGAAAGAGAACAAACAGACAAGAAGGAAGGAAAGAAGAAACACGAGTTTAAAAAGTAGAATGTAAGTATCACATATTATTCGCTTTGACCAGCTGTTCAGATGCACTCAGCTAAGTTTTGTATTTTTATTATTCCAGTTTCGTAATCTGTTGGGGTTGTTTTTTTTAAGTAGAGGTTTTACGGTCGCAACTGCATAAGATCATATGAGCGCCAGTCCGTAATCTGTGCTATCAGTTACATGTACTCGAGAACAAATATTTTGTTGAAATTCAAATTCTAAATTAAACGCTGAAAAAAGCAAGGAAAGTTACATCATTTAGGTACACTTTTTAAAGGAATGAACCATTGAAAAAATATCTCCTGATAAATGTTGCTTTCTGAGCTTTCTGGTGGCCTTTACATTTATAGTTTGTGTACCCTTTTAGGCATTCCGACTTTGTTTATATCAAAGACTAAATTTATGGGTTTCAGAGAAGTCAAGAAAAATTGTTTTCCAAGTTCGTTGGTCGTATGGGTTTATTATCATTATCATTATCATTATTATCTTCTTATAATAATAATAAAAAGATAATAGTAGTAATACTACTACTAATAATACTAATTATAATAATTATAATGATGATGGTAATATTAATATTAATAATAATAATAATAATAATAATAATAATAATAATAATAATAATAATAATAATAATAATAATAATAATAATAATAATAATAATAATAATAATAATGATAAAAAGTTTATTCCTACTTCGAAACTCATATTTCATTTCTAACAAAAACGTACTAGAACTTGGTACAGCGTCTTTTCACAACTCCTTCCACCACAAGCCGCCTCAAGGCCTCTCGACTCAAAACGTAGCCGGCACCCCCAGACATGTAACCTGCCAAGGAAAACAAACAGAATGCAAAGCTGTACAACAAAATAATGCGCAGTTTCAGCTTGGTAAGAGTTTTACGAAACTCAAAACTGCAGAAAGTCATATTACGTGTATTAGAGTGCAATGCGTAGTGTTCTGCATGCTTTATTTTAAGATATTGCGTCTTTATGATTATGCTTGTTGGAGACTCACAACCTGGTATTGGTAATACAAACCAAAAAGTACCGATGTAGAATTCTCCGAAATATTAAGAAGATAACAGGAGCTTCAACGCAAAATCAAAGCCAGGAAACCAATATTCTGCACACAAAAGAAGATTACTGCCCACTGTAAAAAGAGATACTAAAAGGCAGGCTGGAAGGGACAAGAGCATGTAAGAATACAGAGAGGACTGTCAACACACAATCCTGAGCAATACGATGGTTTGAACAGTGCACAGAGCAGTTGTCATCTGACAGCCGAAATGAATGGTGGGTCAGAAAACATCAACCCCAGAGGTCCCTGAGGCAAATATGACCCGTCATGTACCTCCAACCAACCAGCCAGTGTTCTGTGGTACAGTGTGTGGTATAGTATCTTTTTTCCTTGCCCAATCCTTTCAAGGTGACTCTGATTAGTATAACGCTGTGCACGTGTTGTGTTAGTAATAGTTAACACAAAGTTATGATAACGTTAGCTTTGTAGATGGCAGAGTGTACATTGATACTTTTTGTTGTTGCTACGATTCACTTTCTCCCACGAGTCAGTCCGAAATTCGATATGTTTCGAGGAGTCTAAGGATAGTCTTTAGAATCTTATAAAGAAAATCAGAATTATAGAACCGTACATTTCTAGCCATGAAAATAGTAAGTACAGTTGTATGTGAGATGGTATAATTATGCAAGTGTATGATTTGATAAATTATTATAATCTGGTCTAGTAAAAAAAATAGGATTTACAAACTCCCGAAAAATGCAAATCCAAAGCAAAGAGAACCAATGAGGAAGGTATTACAAATAATTAATACCCCCCCCCCCCCTCCTTTTTTCCCTTCGTCTCAAAAAGTGACGATAGTTATCCTCTGGATGTATGGTACTCACACGAGTACAGGAAATATGTTTAAATACTCCTAGCCAACTTTATGAAGACGTCATTCTAGTTTTAAGGAGCCACATTTCGTCAGACCTGACATGGGTATAATCAGACCCAGAACGGCTTCGAAATAGCATGGAGCTGTTCCTTGTAGGACTTGTAACGTATGAACCCCCCCCCCTCACACACACAAACAATAGACTCAGATGGCACGACTAGGTTGCTATATTACATCAGTTGGTATCATATTGAAATGTGGAGTGGACGGTACTGGTTCGAAACCTGATTTAGTATTCTTGAATTTGGGTCTTTTTGGGGCGTTTTCCAGACTCTCAGTCTGACTGTCTAGCTCCTACGAGAGATGAACACAAAATTCGAAGGCCTTGCTAAAAAAATAAGCAAAAAAATAAACCCAAAAAAACCCAATACAACTAACAGTATTGAAAGGGTCCTCAAACCCACACACGTACGTAGTACGTACTTATCACACCTACCTTGCGGTGTGTACGGCTTGAAGCGATAACCAAAATAGACTGGTTCATCTGGGTCACGCGACGCGAGGAATCTCCTGAGATTTTCCACGATGACGTAAGTGTCGTCATCAGCCTTGAAGAACCAATCAAATTGCTCGCCGTAGAGCTTGTAGCAGAAGGCGCTGGCCAGCAGGACTTTGGCAGTGAGGCGAGAGCGGCCTTCTGGGATGTCAAGGCCGATGGTGGGGAAGCTCTTGTTGTCGGAAGAACTGACACGACATTATCATTATTGTTATTGTTGCATCACTAATTTTTTCAGTTAGTTATTATTATTAGTTATTATTATTATTATTATTATTATTATTATTATTATTATTATTATTATTATTATTATTATTAAGACGATGATGATGATGATAATGATGATGATGATGATGATAATGATGATGATGATGATGATGATATTTCTTCTTCTTCTTCTTCTTTTTCTTCTTCTTCTTCTTCTTCTTCTTTTTCTTCTTCTTCTTCTTCTTCTTCTTCTTCTTCTTCTTCTTATTATTATTATTATTATTATTATTATTATTATTATTATCAGTAGGTACAGTTGTTATGAATGATAGAATAACTTAAAATGAAAATGCAAAAAGGCCCTCGATATGAAGTATTGTGTGGTGCATAAACATGTATATGGGTGACATGTATATTTAATAGTAGATGTACCTAATTTGGTGAGACCCGAAGAACGTTATGATTTCATCTGCATCGAATTCCAGCAGTAGGTATCTTTCTGTGGCATGTGGATTACTCAATTTGCACGCAAAAAAGGCTATGCTGAGAGAGTTTCTCCAAAATCAGCAATGAGAAAGAGAAATATTGAGAGAGAGAGAGAGAGAGAGAGAGAGAGAGAGAGAGAGAGAGAGAGAGAGAGAGAGAGAGAGAGAGAGAGGGGGGGGTCAAAGAGAGAGACAGAGACAGACAGACAGACAGACAGACAGACGGACAGACAGACAGACAGAGATCCAGTCTACGCCTCAGTACATATCATAATTCATAAACTTGGGCAACGAACCTGAAGTAAAGAGTCTTGTCGCAGCGCTTCGCCCAGGTTGAGCGGACAGCTTTGCCTTTAGTTTCCAGATTTTTCTGTTGTATCAACAACCAGCACAGGATTTGGGGGCTTTTGGACGCTGAAAGTAGATGCAAATAATATTATGGGTATTGTGATGTTAGTTTCCTAATTATTATTATTTATTTATGTCTTTGCTTTTATTTTTGCAAGTGTATTGTGCCTAACTTACAAGAACCTGAATATTTCGATTGTGAAACAGCAAAGATGACACACCATAGAACACACCATACAAGTACATCAGAACACAGGAGTTATTGAGAGTCAATACAATAATCTAGAGACTGCACTTTGAAACGTCGAACTCCCCCTTCCCCCTCCTTCCTGCATATGCATACCAAAAAAACTGAAATTTCCACCACAGGAACATTGTGATAATGATACATATGTGTGAAAAACCCAAATAAAAATGGTCTCCCCAGTGATTGAGACAGGCGGAGAGGGATTGGGAAGAGGTGGTTGGGGGGGGGGAGGCGGGCTGGGTTTGAAAAAACCATAAAAATACTCATTTTTATCATCCCCACACCATGAAATTGTCAACAACAACAAAAAAAAACAACAAAAAAACAACAAAAAAACAACATGTCAATCAATAGTAGGTCCCACTTGGAATCTAAACATATTTTTAAAACGCCTATTTCCTTAAAGAAAACATAATGACTATTATCTGGTCACCCGTGTGGTTTTCGGGGCGCTGTCCAAGAGACAGGGGAGTAAAGAATTAAACCACTGTACCTGTACCGCGC